CCTTCCACCCCACTCCCGTCTCTCCTCTTCCTTATCTTCTTGCTCCCAGAATTTATTTTCTCCTATTTCTCTTTCATCTTTCTTTTTTCATCCCAGTTCTCTGTCTCTGTCACGTGTGTGTGTGTGTGTGTGTGTGTGTGTGCATATTTGTTTACATATATATATATATATATATATATATATATATATATATATATATATATATATATATATATATATATATATATATATGTGTGTGTGTGTGTGTGTGTGTGTGTGTGTGTGTGTGTGTGTGTGTGTGTGTGTGTGTGTGTGTGTGTGTGTGTGTGTGTGTGTGTGTGTGGTGTGTGTGTGTGTGTGTGTAAATACATATATAGACAGATAGATAATTCTCTATTTTTCTTATTTTCCTTCCCCATACCTCTCTGCCTTCCTCTGTCCCTCCCTCCCTCCCTTCTTCACTGTCTCCCTCCCTTCCTCACTCATCTATCTCCCCCTTATTTTTATCTTTTTCTCTTCCCTTCATCTCTCAAGATCCCTGCACCCCCATCCTGCTCCTCCCTACCCTCTCTCCTCCCTCTCCCCTTCCCCCATTCATTCCACTCCTCCTTCTCCCTCTCCTCTCCCCTACTCCCATTCACTCCATCATCGCCTCATCTTCCTGTTCGTCTACATCAGCTGGGCCCTCCTTCTAACCCCATTTTCATCCCCCCTTTTCTCCTTACTTCGGAAAGATAGGGGAGGAAGAGGGGAGGGGGAGGAAGAGGAGGATGGAGGGGAGGGGGGGAGGAGGATGGAGGAGGATGGAGGGGAGGAAGAGGGGAGGAAGAGGAGGATGGAGGGGAGAGGGGGAGGAAGAGGGGAGGAAGAGGAGGGTGAAGGGGAGAGGGGGAGGAAGAGGAGGATGGAAGGGAGAGGGGGAGGAAGAGGGAGGAGGGGGAAAGGGAGAAGGGGAGGAAGATGAGGATGGAGGGGAGAGGGGGAGGAAGAGGAGGATGGAAGGGAGAGGGGGAGGAGGGGGAGGAGGGGGAGGAAGAGGGGAGGGGGAGGAAGAGGAGGATGGAGGGGAGAGGAGGAGGGAGGAGGATGGAGGGGAGAAGGGGAGGAAGAGGAGGGTGAAGGGGAGAGGGGGAGGAAGAGGGGAGGAAGAGGAGGATGGGGGAGGAGGGGGGAGGAAGAGGAGGATGGAAGGGAGAGGGGGAGGAAGAGGGAGGAGGGGGGAAGGGAGAAGGGGAGGAAGATGAGGATGGAGGGGAGAGGGGGAGGAAGAGGAGGATGGAAGGGAGAGGGGGAGGAGGGGGAGGAGGGGGGAACGGAGAGAGGGAGGAAGAGGAGGAGGGAGAGGAGGAGGGGGGGAGGAGGAGGGGGAGGGGAGAAGGGAAGGAAGAGGAGGATGGAGGGGAAGGGGGAGGAAGGGGATGATGGAGGGGAGGAGGAGAGGAAGAGGAGGGGGAGGGGAGAAGGGGAGGAAGAGGAGGATGGAGGGGAGGAGGAGAGGAAGAGGAGGGGGAGGGGGAAGCGAAGACGGTGGAAGAGAGTGAGGAGAAGCATGGAGGAGAGAAGAGACAGGGCGGAAGAGAATGTTGAAGAGGGAAAGAAGGGGAGGGGAAGGAAGGAGGGCGAAGGAGAATTTGGTAGGGGGGGAGGAAAAGGAGAGCATAAAGACGAAACAAAGACACGATAAAGTAAGGGTTTGAAGAGAAAGGGAAACACGGGAAGGAGAAGGAAGGAAGAGAAAACAGAAAGGATACGAAGGGAAAGCGGAGAAGGGGCATGTTACAGAGAGAAGGAAGAGGAGGGGGGGGCGTTGAGAAAGGAGCTAGAGAGAAAGGAACAAGAAAGGTGGATGGAGAGAGAGAGAAGCTAGAGAGGGGGGGAGGGAGGTCGAGGGAAGCTGAATACTTCCTCTGCTAAAGACAATATCCTTCATAAATCTCCAAGGGGGCGAATCCAGCAGAGAAGGCTTTGAGGCGGAGAGCTTCGGACTGAATATTCATGGGCCCCCCTCCCCCCTTTTCTCTCCTCCCCCCCCTGCCCCTCCCCGTTGCCCCCTACCATTACACTTGCCCCCTCCCCTCCACCTCCCCCCTCCCTCCTTTTCTCTCCCCCCATGCTCTTCTCCGTTGCCCCCTACCAATACTCTTGCCCCCTCCCCCCTTTTCTCCCCCATCCCCCCTCCCCTATACCTTCTCCCCCTCCCCCTTCCCTCCCCCATGTCCCCTTCCTTACCTTATGCCCCGTTTCCCTTAACTTCCTCTAGTATTGTTTTAGTTCTTACTTTCGAACTTAGCTTTCCCATATTAGGAAAAAAAACAAGGTAATCTATTTTTCACTTCAATATGCTGTGTGTGTGTGTGTGTGTGTGTGTGTGTTTGTTTGTGTGTGTGTATGTGTGTGTGTGTGTGTGTGTGTGTGTGTGTGTGTGTGTGTGTGTGTGTGTGTGTGTGTGTGTGTGTGTGTGTGTGTTTGAGTGTGTTTGTGTGTGTTTGTGTGTGTGTGTGTGTGTGTGTGTGTGTGTGTGTGTGTGTGTGTGTGTGTGTGTGTGTGTGTGTGTGTGTGTGTGTGTGTGTGTGTGTGTTTGTTTGTGTGTGTGTATGTGTGTGTGTGTGTGTGTGTGTGTGTGTGTGTGTGTGTGTGTGTGTGTGTGTGTGTGTGTGTGTGTGTGTGTGTGTGTTTGAGTGTGTTTGTGTGTGTTTGTGTGTGTTTGTGTGTGTGTGTGTGTGTGTGTGTGTGTGTGTGTGTGTGTGTGTGTGTGTGTGTGTGTGTGTGTGTGTGTGTGTGTGTGTGTGTGTTTGAGTGTGTTTGTGTGTGTTTGTGTGTGTTTGTGTGTGTGTGTGTGTGTGTGTGTGTGTGTGTGTGTGTGTGTGTGTGTGTGTGTGTGTGTGTGTGTGTGTGTGTGTGTGTGTGTGTGTGTGTGTGTGTGTGCGTGTACGTGCGTGCATGCGTACATGTGTGTGCGTGTGTGTGTGTGTTCACTTCCTCGTCATTATTCAAATTGATTCACAGACAGCGAAACAGACTATGATTTATTCCGACCTGTTTCATCTGATAACGCTATAAGTGAAATCCGCCCGCGTTGGCTACAGTGCTTAAGCAGTCGATGATGATGGTTCTTTTCAGACACAACAGCGGCTGAAATTGATGTCACGTGACTTGAATATATCCCGGATGTGAAAATAAGTATACTTTTTCTTACGTACGAACATTTTGTTGTTGTTGTTGTTGTTGTGATTGTTAGTTGTTTTCCGATGAGTGGAGGGATGTACACGGTAATAATACTTGTTCTGCGATCCTTTTCATCATAGAAGATATTTATGTATGAAATGACTCGTGCAAAATTACCCACGTCATAGTGATAATGCCATGAAAATACGGCACCCAAGAGCTTATACACAGCGGTTGACTTAAGAGAGAAAGTATGACTCTTCAGGAATTCCATCCACGGTGAAAATACACCTCGTAAGCCCTCGGTGAAGGTACCCCACTTCAGCTTGGTCTTCTCGGTGCATATAACCGCTGATGGACAACTTGTGTTCAGAACAACTTGTTAATGGGCTAGACCTTTATCTCTGCCCCCTCCTCCCCCCCCCCCCATTCCATCGGTCTTCTCTTCTCATTCCCCAATTTTTTTTTGTCCCAGTAAAGAAAAAAAGAAAAGAAAAACTTTCACTCCTACGTTGGTACGCTTGTAGTTTAATATTTCACAGTCTCGTGTTAGACGTCTGCGCTGTATTTCATGAAACAGAATTTTGTATTTGAGCAATTTCATCTTGCAATATCGTTTCCTTCACCTCTCTTCTCCCCTTCCTCCTTCGCCCTTCCTAGTCATTAAATACATTGGTTCAAGGTGTAAATAATTCTGCGTTCGTGTCAGTTCTTTGAAGAATAATTGTATTTCACTTCACTGTGTTTGTATTGTTATATTTCTAGCTTGATCTCTTATTTATATCCCCCTCTCTTCTTTCTTTATTATCTTCTCTCCTTTATAATCTTTCTCTTGGCTAAGATAACACCATTTCGTCAAAGCATGGGCTTTTATCGTATTTATCGATATTCCTTCTTTCTCGTCGATCAGAGAAAGTAAATAATTAATCTTTCAGTTTTTATAATATCTTCAATGCTGTTGTGAGTCGTACGGAAATTTACACGTATATCTATTCAAGTATTTGTTTTCCTGTTAACTAACCTGAAAACACATGGATATCCTCACTCAACTGACCCAGTGACCAGATGCCAACAAGTGTTTTCGACCACCGACGCATGTTGACAAAGCTGACCAAAGCACCTGCTGAGGAGGGAAAACACCTGCTATAGTCTGGCCGTCACACCTGCCCGTCCTCGGCCATGACATGAAATGGACATTAGTCGAGATCCAATAAAAAATTTTGATGGCCTTCGTCGGGAAAGGGTTTTGGCGCCTTCCCTTTCTCTCCTTGGTTTTTGTTGCTTGTTCATCTTATTTTCCTGTGGTCCCTTTCTGTCTTTCTGTGGTCGTGTCTCTCTTCCCCTGTAATACATTTTCCCTTTTCTCTTTCTTTTTATCCTTTGTCTTCCTTCCTTTTGCTTGATACTATTGTCAGTTTTCAAGATTTTAAAATGCCAGTGTGAGCCACGAGGATATTGTATTTCCCTCTGTATGTCTGTCTCCTTACCCGCCCCTGCTTCCTCTTTCTCCTCGCTTTCGGCAAATCGCGTCTCGCATCCAAATGGATTTGCTGAAAACACATGAAAAGGACAGACACTTTGAGACAACCGTTCAAGCAGTAAATAATCCCTACAAAGGTCTCTGTAAAACATTCACGCCCACTCATGCTCACTCTCTCTCTCTCTCTCTCTCTCTCTCTCTCTCTCTCTCTCTCTCTCTCTCTCTCTCTCTCTCTCTCTCTCTCTCTCTCTCTCTCTCTCACACACACACACACACGCACACACACACACACACACACACACACACACACACACACACACACACACACACACACACACACACACACACACACTCCCACATACGCGCACGCCCCTACCTTGGTGAGCGGGCTGGGACACACGCCGGCGCAGTAGTAGGCGTTGAAGACGGTGGGCATGATGATCCACTGGTCCCATCCCAATTCCTTGATGTCTATCTCCAGCTGGTGTCGCTCGCACACCCGCGCGCCGCCCTTGCCGCCCACCACGCCCGTCAGCGAGCTCAGGGAGTTGGCGTCGTTGCTAATGTGGTTCTGCGGGCGGGAATAATTACGTAAGTTTAAATTGCATGGGTAATTTTTCCCGCCTTTTTTCCTTCTCACTCCGCGTTTCTCGGTCTTCCTTGTTTACTTGAATAACTTTTTTTCTTTTCTTTCCTTTAATGATGGGATTCACTTAAATAATTCCTTGGAAGATGTTTTAAATGTTGTTGTTGTTTTTTTCCTTTGTTATTTGTATAATCAAAATTTAAATGAACTATCATAACAA